AAATTTACATTAAATTTCAGCGGACCATGCTCTTACAATGTTCCCCAAAACTATAATTTAATAAACTTGCCAATTTTCTTTCAAAGTCAGCAATTTTTCAGATTTTTATAAACTTTCAGTATCTTATCAAAATAACACCGCAAATTAAGAGTCATTCAGCTAACAGAAACGTTTCTTTTTTGGTTAACCTATTTTATGTTATTCCATGGATCTAATATTCCTGAATGAAGATGTCAATGGCTAATAGTTGGAAAGGATCAAAAATAGGTTGTGTATAGCATCTGCAATATTCCATACATTCCACTTCTACGTCTAGGATCATTTAGCGCGATGATAGCCTCTAAATTCTCATTTATTTTTCAATTTATAGTTTACTAGCTACACGCTGGTATTATGAGAAATGAAGTTGAACGGTATCGAAAGTAATGCGCACGATGAGCAGGTGCAAATGCGCCGTGTTGCATTTTTTGCAATTGTTATTTCGACAGCTGCTGTGATTGCTTCCATTGTCACCCTTCCAATGCTATACAGTTTTGTTCATTCCTTTCAATCACATCTTATTGCTGAAGCTGATTTCTGTAAGGTTAGATTTTGATATTTGGACAAGATGTTGAGCAATTTATAACTAACATATTAATTAAGACGATAAAAGTTTCTTGTGTGAAGAATAACAACCTGAATTGCAATGTCAATATTTTGACTTAAATTTAAGTGTGTTTTCCTAGTTGGATTTGAAGTTTCATGCCCAACAAGTTGCATAATTATATTTCTATACAGCAATACGGTTGGATCATTGATGTTTCTAATTATCAAAAATCAATTCGAAATGATTAGCCACTTTCCACATCTTAGACAGAGATGTCAAAACTTTCGATACATTGTTGTGATATTTAACAAAATAAATTTCAGTCTCGGTCTCGGAATATGTGGCAAGAAATGAACTTATTTAACAAGGAATATCGTGTTAAACGAGAAGCAGGCACCTGGCTCTTCGGTCAATTTATACCGCGCACATCCGGTACTGCAAATTATCATTTGGGAAGTGCCAGCTATGGTAACGAAATTCCTACACCATATGGTAGCAAAGGAGGTGGATCTAATGATGGAGATCTTTATGGAGGTTCAAACAGTGGCAATACTTACGGAAGTGCAGACAATACATATGGTAGCAACACTGGTACTGATAGCGACTACGGTAAGTCGGAGGTGCCGCCTGGTTACGGTCCTGGTCCGATAATCAATGCAGAACCGAATGTTGGAAGTTTCTGTTGTCCATGTCAGCAGGGCTCTGTAGGACCACCAGGACCACCTGGAGATCCTGGCCCTGATGGAAATGGTGGTGAACCAGGCAAAGATGGAGATAAAGGGAAAGATGGGCAGGTATTTTTTAAAATTTGGTTGCAATGGATCTTTTTCTAATTAAATCTGGTGAGCAGTTATAAAAAAAGCAAATACTGGTTTTGAACGAGAATGGTATTTAAATTGAATCTCAACACTTTTCAATAAAGTCGTTCCTGGTAATAATGGGTTGTAATTTTAATATATTGATAAGACATAATATATATTCTTACATTCCAGTAATACTTACCAAACAGTTCATAGTTAAGTTTATCACGTAACTTAAGTGTGAAAGTCAAGTTTACTGCTTTTATTAAAATTGTACAATCTTTTTTAGTGCCAATAACTGGATGTCTGTGGTTATAACAATGATCCAAATAGGATTCCTTCATCTTCATTATTACTAAATTATCTGATTTGATCGATTCATCACAAAAGTCTATTATTAAAAATAATTTCATGGAAATAATATCTTTTAAGGTGCTTATATCAGTAATTGAAACCGAAGAACCATGTCTTATTTGTCCACCTGGACCACCCGGTCCAGCAGGTCAAGCTGGTCCAAAAGGACCACAAGGACCAAAGGGTGCTGAAGGTACAAAGGGTGAAGATGGGAAAAACGGAGAACCTGGCATGGTTGGTGCAGCGGGATCGGTTGGACCGCCCGGGAAGGAAGGACTTCCTGGACCAGCTGGTCAACCCGGACGCCTTATTCCAAGTGACGGACCTCCTGGACCTGTGGGACCACCTGGTGATTTTGTTAATCTTTGCTTATCATTAATAATTTTAACACAAAAGTTAATGTTATTGATTTCTCTAATTTATGCTAGTGTTTATACCTAAAGATTTTTCCAGGACCATCGGGACCGCCTGGGCTAAAAGGACCTCCAGGGCCAGATGGAGCTACCGAAGATGGCCCCCAAGGACCACCAGGAGATGAAGGACTACCGGGACCGCGTGGACAGCGAGGTCTAGAAGGACAACCAGGATTACCAGGAGAACGAGGAGAAAGCGGTTCATGCGAACATTGTCCTGAACCACGTACACCACCAGGCTACTGAACAAGCTGTTGTAATCTCTTGTAGTGAGGTCGTGAAATTCACATTTTTGTCGTTATCCAAATATCCCTTGTTAACTTGCTATTGGGGGACCTTTCAATTTTATTTAAATAATTCTGCCTAATTATTGTTCGACTAATTATAATCCCAGGCCATCTTTATTTCTCAGTTATTGTTATGGCCTTGACTGATTGTTTAAATTGTCGTTTTAGCGCTATGCTATGTATGAAATGTAAGGTTGTTGTAAACTTCGTTGCCTTCAACGAAAACTTATTTTAATTGGCGCTGACAGAAACTTTAGAATGGACTCTTTTACTTCTACTTTTCTTTTTGAAGTTTCAAAAAATATGCCTAAAACAATAATGATTTAAGTATATTATAAATGATGGAGTAATTATGTGCCGAATATTGCGACAAAAATGACTCCAAAAGTTTGGAGAGTTTTTAAAGTAGTACAGATGTTTCCTACCAAGGGTTCATCGGATACGACCTCACCAAAAGTAGCAATGGAGTCATACATTTGCAGAGTCATAGCAATTATAACACTCCTTGTATGAGGCTTGCTGGTTATTTCCTCTTTTTTTTTACTTTTGAAAATTTGTTTGTTGTCGTTTTTATCGTAAATTGTTTGTCCAATTCTTACAAATTTCATGAAAAAAAAAAGAAAAAAAATGCATTCGTTATTCGCGTGAATGATATCCGTTCTGCCATTGTTAAAAATTGAAACATTTTGAGAGACAAACTGCGAATTCATTTTGAATTTGGGTCATTCAGATAAGCTTATTTTGCTGACCCATTTAGATCAATCATTGTTCTCTTGCAACAGTCTCACTGATTAGTATTTATTCTCTAACATTTAGTGACGATTGTAGCATCACAAGAAATCTTCACAAAATGTAACGCAAAAATAGTTGCCAAATTTCGCTTAATTGAAATATGATTAAATCTGTATAAATGGTTTAAATGAGTGAATGTGTTCAATGCTCGCAAGGAAATCATTTAAGAGTGGTTGAAACTCGATTACAGATATCTTTGGGGTCATTCAAAGAACCAAGTGTTTTCAAACTTAAGTTTCTAAACAATTTCGGTTGTCTAATTGGACCTAACATTTAGTGACGATACAAAACCGACCAGCTGCTTGTCAAAACTATGCTTTGATTGAGAAGTTCAAATCTCTGCTCCTGATTCCACTTTTATCTAGTCATTATGTGATAGTTACAGTGCATATATGTATTAAGTGTAACTTCCTTCTTCATTGTTAAAAACTTAGCGAAAGAAAAACATTATTGGAATAATAACTACAATGATTTTCAAATCATTGTTTTCATTAAAAATTTTAAGAAGAGCAAAAAAGCGGTCAATTTCTTTCATTATATTTCTTCTCTTTTATTGTAATTTCCCCCTATCTACCTTTTTTTCATCACTTTTGATAAGTAATTTAGAATAGACCAATAACATTCGCAGCTATTCCCCCTTTCTCTCGCCAGTTAACATTGTCTTCTTCAAGTTAAAATATCATTGGAGTTAAAAATTTGTAAAGTACCGCCTAAGTTTTCCGCTGTTTTGTTATTGGTACTTTTGTCGACTTACTGAAAGATAACACACTTTTTTGGCTGTCATTTTGTTATTTTCAGTGGAAAACAGTCTGTCACGGCGGTTATTTTTCTCTTTTACGTACTTTTCGTGTGCTATTCATCTCTTTTGTTTCATCGCGATTAGAAAATATCATATTAAGAAAATCTAAAGGCACTGACTATCTGACAGACTGCAGTTCCTTATTCTGGTAGTTTAACTATTCCCTAATTGATTATTCGAAAAGAACCGATTCAAAACCTTTTTTTAAAGGAAACTTTTACAAACTGTTATTAGCTGTTCTCCGGATCCAGTTATCATGGTTTCAGTTGAGTAAAATGTTTGGAATGATTTTTTATCACTGTTTTTATCATGATTTTAATACATTCAGAATATCACAGAAATGTAAGAAAATTCTCATTAATTCTTATTATATTAATTCAGTAGTAACATATATCTCATAGAATTCAGAAATCCAGAAAAGCTTGTAAACAGGACTTGTAAACAACTGTTTCAGGATACCGACCGTTTGATCACCCATTTGGGAGTTATGCAAATGCGACGAAGCAGTTTGAGCGCTCAATAAATAACATTCAACGTCGCCTGGCTAATTAGAAATTATCCGGCAGTTTTATTGAATTTTGAATTAGGTATATGCTTATAAAAAATTTAAATGCTAATATGAGATTTCTTGCATCTTTTTAAGCAGCCAACAAGTTAATGCTCAATAATACAAACAATAGTCAGGCGACAAATATTTCTGGAAGACATACTGCTCAGGACTAAAACTATAAATGACTTGGGAAACTTTTCAAGAATGCAAAAAAAGATAAACAACTCTTATGGATTTCGGGTACATCTTGAATTGTATGAACGAATAAAGCCAACTCTTATTCGATTTTGATGAGGTGTTTAATAATTGTATGGGAGCATTTCTTCTATCAAATTATGGATAAAAATTATCAAATTGAGGCCCGATGTAAGTCTGACTTAGAAAGTGATAAGTTGATGAAAGTGATAAGACTTCTCACATCTGCACGAATTATAAAGAGGAAGTTTGGTAGTTATGGTTTGGATGTTTTGTAGACTGGTTCATAAGTTTAAACTCTTTAATTTATTGCTAAAAATATTAGATAGTGCCAGGACATTATCTAGGAGTGAACTTCCGTTATATTCTACAGAAAACGAATTTCCTTAATCTCACTTTCTGAGCATTGCAACATAACTCCTAAGTTTTTTTTTTCTCCTATTTCTTGAACTGTTGGAGAGTTGACAAGTGCATTGGCTCATACAAAGGCTCGGAATGATAGCTTGGGAATGAAGTGAAGGTAGTAAACGAAAAATATCAACAGCTGAATGAACTTTACATTGCTTTCGTGGCCGAAAACACGATAATTGTGAGTCCAGCAGGATGTTTTCCATTTTTGCTGGAATATTTTACAAAAAAGCTAAAATTTTCAAATTCGAGAATTTTCAATAAAAAATCTATTAATTGGCTTGATGTATTTCAGAAGCTGATAAAAAGGAGAGAAGGTAGAAACTAAATCCTTACTTATGCATAATTTAATAAATTAACTGGAGTTAACAACAATTAACTTAGGGAGCACGAAACACCAATAAACATTATCATCAAAAAGAGATCACATAGCAGTACAAACGTTATAGCAGGCGATAAAAGCAGGTAAAGCCCTGGGACAATAAAAGGAAATTTTGAAATCTAATCCAATTATGATTGACTATATAAATTTATAAATTATATATGACTATATAAATTTATAAATTATAACTATATAAATTTATAAATTTTTTCGCACAACGAAAAGTTGCAAATTGGTTTTTTATATTTGTTCGACAGATCAGTAGGAATAAAGTTCAGATTAATATGGATCTGACTGTTTTGAACTATTTTTCTGTTGTTTGAAATTAAGATCGACTTCAACTTCTGAATTACAGCATTTGATCGTATTGAAGCGAAAATTGGCTGTAAGCGAAAAGCGTGTTAAAAAAGTTGGCACTATGATGCACTCATTAACGGAATCAAACAGCAAAGAGCTCAGGTCAATAATGCAAGATGATTTGATCAATCCTCTTTAGTGGCTGATCGAATTTTTTTTTGATTTACATAACAGTAATAATGATTCCACAGTTACTGCATCTTTTCAATTCAGTTTTTCCTTTTTCTTTTTTTTTGGGATTTTCTGTAGTAAAAATCATGGAATCATTATTGGGTTTTTTTCTGATGAAGGATCTTTTCAAAATAATTTTAATTGGCGTGAATTTCCATTTAGTCTTTAAAAAGGGAAAAGGATTAAGCAATCTTAGTTACAAAAATAAATTTATTGCAAAACAGTGTAAGACATGTTCCTTAATTCCATTCATATTCTTGCAAGAATCTGACTATTTATTGTTTCGTTGGTGATTTTAATAAACCGGTAATATAAAATTTGGGATCTTCATCACTTGTTTGTTGTTATATAATTTGAACTGTCATCGCAAAACTTCTATAAGACTGGTATTGTTTCCAAATGATGGCGAAGTATGACTATTGAAACGAGTGCTTAAATTGGAATAAAACAAACTGTTGATTTTGAATGTTTTTTTTTTTTTGAATAAATAATTTCATACGACCTCATGCAAATTATTCGATAAATATTTTCCTCACACTATTAACTACATTGGTTGCATACAAAACAGCCTGGATTTCCTTTGTCCTTACTTTTCATTTCTTCCTAGTGTGTATACGAGATATTTTGTTTTCATATAAATATTGGTTATATGGGAATAATACAGTGAAATTCACTTCGTTTTTGAATTTCAGCATCGTTTTCATTCTTTGTTGAGCTGTGAATTTATGTAGCATATTAGACTTCTAGATTAATGAAAAAGACGAAGATATGGTTGGTTTTAGAGCAAAGGTGCGATAACAGTTAGAAATATGATGGAAATGTTCGTTTGATCAGATGGATGCGAAAATTCAGTTCTGAATATTTCTCAACATGCTTCATATATGAATTCCATTTGGATGAAATAATGTTTAATAAGATAAACCCTTTAAATTACCCATACATGCGACATGCATCTATGCTTATCAAGCTTTTGGATGCAGCTAAAGGAGTGCCGTATTCTAGAACTTATTTTGTGGTGTTGTTTTGCACGCAGTTATTTGAAAGCCGATTAAACATACACGATTCTATTTGTGTAATATTTATAGTTTTGTGTAATATTGTAATATTTATAATGTTTAATATTTATGATAGATAGAATTAGTGGAGAAATAACCATTTTCGAAATCTCACAGACTTGGCAGTAAGACACTGGGAGAGTCAATCGCTGAGACGAATTTTTTCATGAATAAACTACAGTTTAAAATGATAATTGATGTATATTTTAACTTTCCAAATTTAGTAACATTATTTGCTTTCGAGATCCTGCAATGTTGTATTTTATTTACCCTCCAAGCGAAGATCAGAGCGACGTCAATTGCTGAAAGCATAGGATGTCGCGAATTCCGATTCGCGAGACTCCAACTATACAAATATGTAACCAAATAAATTTCTTATTGTAAATCAATATATCCAATGTTATAACTTTTTTAATTAATTCTACATTCCTTAGATTTATTTCCATGGTTTTTCGGTCTTTATCTCAATTCCCATCTTTGTCCGGACGCATCTTTATTTTAAGGACAAAGAATGTCCAATCTGCATGCTAATCTTCCCTCTGTTCTTGTTACAATGCTTATTATGTAATTGGATCTTTACAGTTTCCTTTGTATCTAAATGAACACCCTTTTTTAACGTTAAAACCACTCCCATTTCCTAAGACATATAAACCCGATCATTAACCGAGTGAGACTGTTATCAATAAATTGTCTACAATCTGGTGCGTGTACAACTCAACTCAAATCATCGTACCTGAATGAACTCAAATCAACTTAAAGCTACTACAACTCGCGTTATATCGCTGGCAGTAGTTGTCTTTTCTTCGACATCACCCTCTCAAACGAACGCTATCAATATTCGCTACATAGGAATGTCCTCACTTTTCTAGTTATTCATGGTCGGTGATAAATGTTCTGAGTAGCAAAACGGGTTGCATGCACGCTTGATGTTGGATTTGGAGAATTTTCAAATTCCTCTTCATTTCAAATAATGATAATTGGGTGACCGTTTAAATTAAGCACGACATTCGCAGATCAAGCAAGTCATTAAAGATTTTCTAGCAACAGCTCATCACAATAGCAAATCATCCATTCTGTTAGTTTTCAAACTGTACTTAATTTACCGCTCAGTAGTTTTCCAGGACTGTTGGTCCGGAATTCCATGACACTAAAGCAGCAGATTTGTGAATTCATGTAAATTTGGATATATTTTTGATTTGAAGCTTATTTCTCTCTCACTTGATTTTTCTTTTTTTTTGTTCATTCGTTTTTTTTCTGTTCGTCGATTTTTGGCTCAAAAGCACTTTCTTCTAAAATGTGATAGTGTTTTAATTTTAAGCTTCCAAGCCATTCCTAAGCATTTCCATAATATTTTATTTCTCAGTAATACAAAGTTTTCTTTAAAACCACAACTTGTTCCCTTTGTAACCAACTTCACACTTCCACAACTGCAAAGTATTATCTTACGTATTTTGCATGGGTTGGAAGGGAAATTTCTTTAATCGGTGTTTTTTTCTTAAAAATTTTGATTTGAAAGTTACAAAATACGAAATGTACCAAATTCAAATTAATGCACGAATATACAAATAAATGTAACATTTAGGCAAGGTCATGGGATAATTGCTTCAAATTGAAGATGAATTTAAGATATAAAGAAGGTTCGGGAGGAAAATTAGAGTCTTGAATGGAAATTGAGCAATTTGCTTAACATTGTCGACTATTCAATGTTATCGCCGATTTTCTTCAGTCGTGACAAAAACTGAGGGTTCTTTCTGCCTCTTTAGTTGATAGTACCTCAAACTTGGGTAATTAAACCTTTTATTACGATAAATTTACTAATGCAACAGCGAACTTGCAAATATGACATTGATACAACAAATTAATAACGAATACACAAGAACAAAAAAACAAATCACGCCCGACGCCTCATATCCAACCAACCTCAATGAAACACATTTGACAAAATGAAAATGGATTAGTGCTTAGGACCTATCGCTTCTTCAACTGGGAGGGTCCTTGTACCGTTTTATGATTACAAGAATTAGCATCCTTATGGAGCATCCATTGGTGTTAGAGCAAATGTAAAACGATATGAACATATAAAACAAAGATGCCTGGCTTTCAAAAAAAAGGATTATTGTCCCTTTGTTTCTACTCGCGATATCAGCGACAAATGTATTATGCATTATTAAAAAGCTATCTAAAAGAGATGGAAATAAACTATCGTTTTCACAATTAAAATTCAATGTTTCGAAGACCTAATGCACTTTATAGATGTTTAAAAGTTCCCGCAACCAAATTTATTTCATATGAAATAAGTTCGAGGGTATTTCTGATATTTTGGCAGTTCTGCAGAGTGAACAAAAATTTTACAAAGACGGAGAGACGGGAATATTAAAAATAGTAAAATAGCAAAAAAGCTTTTAAAATCTCAGGGATTCTCAAAATTTCTTTCTTTAAAGTCTTAAAACTTTGGATGTCCCCAACTTCCAGTGAAACCACGTAAACCAAGTATGCTAAACATTTTGGAACAGTTGAACTAATATTTGCGAGAACTGAAAAAAGTCGAAAAAAAGCGGAAAAATCTTCCATAGGAGCATCTAGACTGCTCTGTTTGTTTTTGAAACGAGTCAGGATACTGAAAGAAAACAGAAGGATAACGAATGATGAAAGAAGAAAACACATAAAAATCTCCTTTTGAGGAAAGAAAGAATAAGAGTAGAGAAAAACCACAGCTTTTTAGTTCTATTAACAGCCTTTTACTAAGAAACAGAACATTTCTTTACATGAGTTTTGCCCATTAAGGTTATTAGATATGTCAATTATTAGGTTGAAAGGTAAAGTTGCATTCAATAATGATGAATTAAGCTTCCTACCGCCAAATTAAGTATCACGTGATAAGTCACCAGTGGCTTCTGCCAATATCATTTGAGCAATTCAAATTACGAATACTAACAATTCCTATACGAATATTAACAATTCCTATAAAACGTAAACAGTACAAGATCAGAGAGATCATCTGTTCATCATCACACAATGACTATCAGTGCTTTTGTTAATCCTATCGATATATGTCAACATTTCAGATTTGAGGATGCAAATCTTTCATTATTGTCGTCATCCCTTTCTTGTAATATTCTCAGAGTAAGCTCTCTGCTCTCTCTAAGCAATCAAAAGTAATCGGATTTCGATGAAATTCTGAGATTGACAAGTTAATTTCAACCATTCCAAGTACAAAAATAGTAAACCTAATGATGATGTTGTAGACTGGGAAAAATTATGATAGAGAAAAATTCGTTATGAAAAAAATTTCCTCAAAAATAGTGATTTCAAAAGAACCATTAAATCCCATTGTAAAATATTTTCACGTTGCACCAATCACGTCGTGGAAGATGAACTGCGAACTTTTCTGTTTTGCTTTCGTTACAGTAGTAGCACAGCTGTTTATATGTCTCCACATATAGTACGTTACATAGTACCCTTCTTTTTATACTCATATACAGTTCCCAAATTCATAATAATCACTGTCATATTTCCCTTTCTTTTCTATCTAACAAACCAAAAACTAAATGACTGTTTTATCGCTTTTCGTGGATTGGTATTGGTATTTCAGAGAAAAAAAACTAATTTTTATCGTTTTTTAGAGGGAAAGTATTTCCAGTAAATTACAGGATGTCTTATGAGATCTCAAAAGTCAGATAAAAGACATGCGACTTTCAAACAATTCAAAATTTGTTATATTCCGCGTAAAACGAACCAAAAACAAGTAATTTGCAAGTGCTTCATGTGTCGCCAAATGGAAAAGAAGTCCGCGATTATGCGAGAGCAGTATCTGGGGGAAGAAGAGTTCGGATATAGAGCTGTATTTATGTAGGAACAAAATAAACACACTGTTCAAACATGAGTAGAATGTAAGAAGGAAATAGGCGGGATGACGAGAACAACTGAGCGGAAAAATCACTAGAATAACGACAATTAACTGTCACTGCATGTAATTTCAAATCTAATTTTCCTTCTCCTTGTTTGTTCCAATACTTCTTGCAGCATGATTTACTAATATGCAAAAAGTTTATTCATGGAACTGTTGGAGGACAAAAAAATTTATCTCAGTGATATATTGAGAAAGAGAGAGAGAGAAAAAATAAATAAGAAAAATATGGAGGTATAGAAATTGTGTGACATGATTCGTTAGTTGTTGCAAGCTATAAGGTTTGTAGTTCACGGAGGAAAGACAGGTTCAAATAATCCTCCAATAGGTCATCATTTCTCGTTCACTGTTTCTTCTGTTTCTTCCGTTTACTACCTTTCTTTTCTTTTTTTTTGGAACCACTCTTACTTGTGTCCATTCCCTGTGAGTCCGTCCCAGTTGATGGTGTTGAAATCTGTAATATTTTCATCTTTTAGTGTCCAAAATGATAGAAGTTGTCTCTGATTTTACACATAAAAGGTCAGTTTTCTAGAAAAGTGGCAATTTGCGCTACCATTTCTGTAAAAGGAAAAGGATTCAAAGAGAATGGAGATCACACGCAATGCATCAACAACGGAATGTAATCTCATCCACTCTTATACTTTGTTCCAAAATGATATAACTTCCTTGTGGTGAAGAATTTGAAATTTCAAAAAAGTTCTCTAAGAATGAAAAAAGGAAATAATGAAGAAATGCGAAACAAAAGATGCGGAAAACAAAAATAGTGTCAGACATTTGCATTAGCTTCCGGCGTTGGATCCATAGGTTTTGCGGTGGTGATTACATCATCCTGAACATTCCTTTTTATAATTTCAATACTTCAGTGAATTAAATTCGATATATTTATTGAGTAATATGAAAGTTTAAAGCAATATTCTTACAGGTTACTTGAGCATAGAGTTCATAAAAGTACAAAACGCTTACACGCATTCCAGCTGCCGCTGCAACACCAGCAGCGCTCTTTTTCTGAAAAAGAAGACACCACTATTTCCGTAGTATACATTAATGGATATCATTTTCAATGGATGAGTTGTTACAAATTGCTAATCGAATTTACGACATTAAGAGGAAGTTGATAAGCGACTGATTAAGTTCCTCTATAAAGATACCTTCACAACAAAAAAGCCTACAGCACCGACAACACACATAATTAGCAATAGGAAAAAGAACGACATCTTCGTCTCACTCTGACCGATCACTAGTTAGTACGTATAATACAATGAACAATACTGTATCTAATGCTGTTCCTTTTACAGCAATCTATTCCCCTCAAATTAACATATGCGCAGAGTAAGCCTAAGCAACTGATATTATCTACAACAAAAAAGAAATCTAAAATTCCAAGAAAAATTGAACCTAAAATTTGACTTCATTTCAATTTGTTGATGATATCAGCATTATCGTGACCTAAAAGTCATATCTCTAACATTTCTTAACATCTTAAATGCTTCCTTACCAGCGTTGTGGGACTAAGTTTTCATTATGGACTAGATCCATTAAATTTGTTTCCTCTGAGAAAGACTCCAAGGTCGTGTGAATTGTCTGGGTGCCATCAATCTCTCTTGAGACGGTTTATCGCTGGTTGGAGTGCGGTTTTCTATTATTATTTGACAAAATAATTTGAGAAGTAATTAGTGCACTCCACTGCACTCCATGATAACATTTGACTCTATTTCAATTTATCAGCGTTATCGTGACGGTATATTCAGCATATGCCATTTACCTTTAAAGCTCTAACACCTCCATACTTGTACATCTGATCGCGTGTATCAGACGGAACTCACTGAAGATTCCTAATCACCGATGTCAGTAGCACATCGTGCTCAACGTAGGAATTCACTACTTTAAACTTGCTAAAGTAATAGCTTCGTAGTTCGAACTTACTAAGTAAAAGAGATCGCTGGAAAGCTGCTAATATTGTAGTGGTGCTTCCTTTTTTGGAGTTTTGGAGGATAGATGAGATAGTTTCTTCTTGGCTTTTTTACTCCGTCGATATCATGTCATATTCATATTTGTAAAGACTGTAGAGTTTGATCTTTAGCAGGAAATTGTTCCGAAATTTCAGCAAGATTAATTCAATTGCAGTTATGAAGAGGAGTAATCTATCGCGAATCAACATCATGAAGTTCCTTAAATATATTTCCCTATAAGAATCCTTTCTTGACATATTTTATAACGAATCACGAATATCTAAAAGTCTACGTTTCTCTGGCTGTTGGTTTCCAACTTCGATTCCTTATATTGTACTAGCGCTACTCCAGTTTACCGTTCGGCTGGCATGTCACATTTCTATCATGTCACATTTTACCGCTTTTTAACTTATGGTAGTCATACGATTGGGAATGATTTAGATTGCTGAAATTTTGCTAGGAGTTCATGAACTGAATCTGCTTGGTCTTTCAGACAGTTACCCAAGTTTTCGATGCAGATTAATTACCAGTCCAAGGTATCTTAAGGTAGTTGTTATTTTCTCTATATGTCTATAAATATCGGTAAATTTATAAGCCAAGTAAACGAGGAAGGCTTCAAGGTTATGTTACTGTAATACAGATTACAATAACATAACCTAAATCTTATTTATAAATCTGTCAGTAATTCTAAAAGATTAAGGTAGTTGTTCAGACTCGAATAGAGCTTTATATTCACCAGAAGATCGTTCAGTTGGAATTTAAGCTTATTTATTTCATCTCTTTTCCCGTCATCGGATATTCAGTTCTCACTAGCCATACATCACGTCAGATGACTTCGCATTATTTCATGGATTTGTTTAATTTTGTTCCTAACTTTCGTTTCCCTTTTATTTCTCGTTTCACTTGATTATATTAATATAGGACTTTTTTTTATCACCTCTGTTACTGTTTATGAAACGAAATGTCCTACTTATGATTATTTCTGGAACTTCTAATTATTTCTAGATGTAATTATTGTAGTAGATTTAATATATCAACTTTTTCCACTAGAATAATACAATTTTGAGAATAACCGGAATAATGGTAATTTTGGAAATGGTTTCATTGTCACTGCGCCGTCTATTTATAACTTACTTTGCACTTTTATGCTAAGAACTTAGTCTTATTTCAAACTCTGTAATATGGATTGATTTTAGAATAATAGCAATGAATGAAGAAGGAGGATATCTAGGTGCGATGACATATCAGTGCTTGTACAGTGGCGTACTGGATCGTATTGTGCAAAATCGTCGGAATGACGATAGCGCTGTTCATGTGATCCAAGTAAGGCATTATATGAAAAGGTTCCTTATTCTATTTTCCCTTCGTCCTCCCCTCCTTTCTTCTTTTTTAGCTCTGAATGGATTAAAAGTGTGGTTAAACAGTTGCCAGTATGAATCTTCAAACAGTAGATGCTGTACCTTATTTGGCATACTCTTATGAAACAATATATTGATTATCCGTTAGTTTTGTCATTTTTGCAAATTCTTGGGCCCATATCAATCGAATATCGAGTTTATTAGATTAATTATTGTTTTATGTATAATATACATATTTGATTTTTAAAATATTCTGAACTTTTATAAGTTATCTTTCAGCGGTTGCGAAGTACTTTGAGACAGGCTGATATTTCTTCGCCGTCTTTTCTTTTCGATTTCACGAAAGTCTTACTGATTGGCTCAGAATTGAATGTTAACCTTCAGGTAGTTCTTTTCTCTGTTTTTGTTCTTGTTTAACATTTACAAGAATTATCAAAGTCGTCTGCCGTGCAGTACTTCTCCTCTTGGTGGTAACTTGGCCGCTTATATTCCTTTGAAGAAAAAATACTGTATCAGCATTCAAGTCGTTCCGATCATTTCACCTCTTACTGCTTTACGTCAAATGCATTTTTACAAGCTAGTCTCTTGGTCTAATCGATCCTTGCAGATGTGTTCCTGTAAAAATGTTTGAAATCAATGGAATTATCGGTCTTTTATGTCTTGCATTTCATGATTCAGAAATTTTACGACATAAATAAGAGCCATTACTTCGAGAAAGGTGTTTTTAAAGTAAATGAAATCATAGGAAGTAATTTTTCCCTTCAATATGAGGCCTTATAGTTCTATGCTTTATGAATATGTTTCGAAGTTATCCTATATTGTTGCAGGAAGCTTTCTTGCGAAGACAGGCAACTGCACCAACTGATGATTTAGAATTACCAAATCTTCATCAAAGAGAATATCAGGAATTGTCGTCGAGGTTGGATTTACTTTTTATGAATGAATAGTGAGTTTTGAAGCAAGTTAATTTCCGTGGAGTCAAACAGATATGAAGTTTTCATTGTAATTATATTAAATATATATCTTCCAGGGCAGTTGCTCTACGACGAGTTTTAGCTCGTGTACCTGAAGAGATGTCCGATCGGCGGACTTTTTTGGAAACAATAAAGGAGATTGCCTCATCCATTAAAAAACTTCTAGATGCTACAAACGCAGTAATGCAAATGATCCACCCAACCGTCCAACTTTGTAACGTTTTGACTTTGCAATGAGTTTTTTTCGCATCCAGCTTTTCCGTCTTTTTCTTAAGGAACTTCGAGTATGATTTTTCTTGCTGAGTTCGCTTTTTGTTTATTGTTAACAAAATGCTTGTATTTTTCCACTCATTATTCATGAGAACTTCACATAGTATTTGCAGCGGTCGAAAAGCGAAAACGGGAATTTGTTCATTATTCAAAACGCTTCAGCAATACATTAAAAGAGTATTTCAAAGATCAAAACGCAACTCAGGTATTCTACTGTTATTGTTACCTGTTTCGCTTATAGTAATCTAATGAGTTGTAGTTGATTCGGGCTTTCGCCTGGTAAAAAGTAATTCGAACTTGTCCTTTCGGTGTACTTATTTCTTTGTAATTTCCAGGTTTCGATTTCGGCTAACCAGTTGATTTTCCAAACAGCTTTGTTGATTAGGACTATACGGGAGAAAATGCGGAAGGTAACTATTGAGAACAATTTGTATTAGAACGTTTTAAGTGGAAAGTTTCCGCAATATCACGCTTGATTTATAATCGGAAGAATATAATATCTCTTTTTAAAGGGTACAATGCAATACCTCTTTTTAAAATTATGGTACTTCGTGGTATAGAATTAGTGAAATAATTATTCACAGACAGTGTGAAAGATCACTATCTCTTGTTTTGCTTCTATTAAAACTTTTGTCCACTAACTTTTGTGTAGTTGGATGTACAAACAGGAGCTTCAGTATTAAACTTTGCAACGTTTTTGTTAGAACGATATAGGAGAGCTTTGATGAACTGATTGAGTTGAGGATCTTCTGTTTCCAAATCATTGGAATTTAATAGGCTTAGTTAGAATTCATTGTATTTGCCGGAGCAATTTCATTCTAGCTTGGAAATCATGGCGATAATAGTCGATAATGATGCGTTGCCTAAGAAAATGAGTTTACTGGTTTTTGCGTAATTTGGTTTATATAAATTTTAGATAGAATTGCTATCCTCAGTGTAATTTGACCAAAATTTAAGTGATAATATCAGTGTTTGGATCATTGTGGGGTAAGGAATTAATTTTGTTTTTGGCATAAAGTCGTGTTTAAACTGGCCTTGTTGTATGATTTCACTGAAGCCCTGCAGTCATATTATTTCGCCGAAAGATAAATATATAAAAAACGATTACTTCTTTAACTTCTTTGAAATGTTTGCTGATTTGATTTCAGATTTACAAAGAATATTTTCAGGTTGGTTCTTAGAACTATCTCGTCTTTTAAATGTCCTTCAAAATGTACTGCCAGTCTTCATCGATTGCTTGATAAATAAACTGCAGTCTCTATTTCATTTCCTTCTCTTTCAGAGCTTGTGATATTAAATCTTATCCATGCATGATGAATTGTGTAAGTTTCATTTTAAAAACAACTGTCTCATTTTCAACTTCAACAAATTTCCTTGATCATCTGACTAGTCTACAAAGATTCACGTAGTTGTTTGTTTTTTGTACCTACTGCAAGGTACCAATTTGAATACATTTGGAGTTTCAGGTTATGAATAATTGTTTTTATACCGAGCAATAAGTAAATCTGTGAAATCCTTTAGTTGATGAGAAATCATTTGTTGCTTAAATTTGTGCTTATGGGAAACAGCTTCGGCAAAACTACGATAAAATTCATGTATTAGTCGGCATTTAACCCAGTTCTCCCAATGTGATTAGATACCAAGTTGAACATTTCTGACTAAATTTTAGTAAGCTGATTTATTCATTTCCAAGTATAGTTGTTTTCAAGCTTAAATCGAGCTTCTGGCGTGTGGCAGAAGTGCTTTTTACTTACTTTTTACATATTTGGTTAATATGTGAAAATTCCTTACCTCATTTGCAGAAGTACGGTTGTTTCTGGCCCTTTTTGTATTTTCCTTTGTCAAACTGTATTATTTTTCTTTTTCTTTCTTATGTCGTACAAAGGACAATAAATATTTTTCTATCAGCTGCACAAAACAGACTGCCGATACTTTTTTAAATCACATTAAGAGCCAAAAAGAAAGGTTGTCGTAATGAGGATCAATATTCCGCTTCCAAATTGCATAAGCACAAAGAGAAATGAGTGATGGCTGTGAAGAGGTTTCTTGAGTCCTCTGTAACCAGTCTGAAGGTAAGGAAGATGCTGATATGGAGCAGGTTAGGTTATTGCTTTTTCAAATTATGACTGATACAAGTTGCCTTCATTAAGGTTCAAACTAATGACATCTCAAAATCTAGCAATCATCGAGGTGAATTGTCAGTTGTTAAGCAACGGATACAAGTGTAGCAGAATAATTGGTGAGTTGAGTTCGATCTGCCAGGCTTATTTACAAATATGAAAACCTGCGATAATTTTTCCACAGGTAATGAAAGACGGAGGTAAACATTCGAATGTCGATATGTAGAACAAAAATATGTGAAAATTTTTGCGCAATTGTTTGAATCATTCTTTGCATGTTAATTTATTTGGGAAAGCAGAAGTTGAAATTCCGCAGAATATTGAACTTGGGTTGAATTTAGAACGGCTTTGTTGTAGAATTCTAAAAATCTTGCTGTTATTGAACACCATAATATAAATAATGTCGTTTATAATGTCTTGATAAAGCAAGAAAGAAGGACACTTATGGATATTCTAATGTTCCTGAAAATGACAATTGTTTTCATCAGGAAAAGCGGCATATTCTAAGCAAGGTCCAATTGGCTTGGTCCAAAAAACTGTCTAAAAACGTCGCAATCAAAATTATCGATAGATGGTCAGTCATCCTGGTAATGATACCCTAAAAACAAAAGGCAATATTAAGACTATCTACTTCCTCTTAAACTTCCTATGCCATTTGGTTTTGGTGCATGTGAATTAATACAAAAATAAACATGGAGGCATATTTAACTACAGTTCAATGCTCCCTCTCTCTCCTCCTAAATGCTGAAGATGAAAGAAATTTTTCTACTGTCATGCTACTAATTTCATGCTACTAATTAGGTCAAGCTATAGGTAAAGTCTGTGCGCATCGATAATATCATAGATTATGACAGGATTGTCAGATTTAAAATTATCTATAACTGGTGATCATTTCAAGACAGAAATTATTTCCATTTCTATATATTTAGATCAGAAACGGATTTCATAATTCGCTTTCTTCCACGAGAACTACGAATTTTACCGATGCTCAGTCATGCAAACATTATTGAAACTTATGAAGTCTATTCTCTGAATTTTCTTTTATTTAAAGGAAGTTATATATAAGTGAAAATTCACTTATCATATACGCTTATCTTAAGCTGCCAAAATTCCTGGAGTATGAAAGTTTTGGAAAGATAAAATGACAAAATGAAAAATGTTTGCATCAAAAATTTAATTTTATTTAAACCTGCAGATAATCGATTCTGTCTCAACAGTTTGCATCACTCAAGAGTATGCTGGTGGCAAGGATTTGTTATATCAAATTAAAAAAAAGAACGACTCAATGGAAACATTTCTAGATTTCTTTTTCGGCAGTTACTTGAAACACTTATGGTTCTGAATTCTTTAAATTTAAAAATTTTTGAAACAAAAATCTTGGCTTTCAAGTCATCATTTTTTGACGTAGTCGCTAAATTGAGTTATATGAATAATTCACTAAATTGATTTATATGAATAGTTATACTTTCCTTTAGTCTTACCGTCCTGCTGTCTATATAAACCAAAACCTTTCATGGGTCTAATAAGCGGGAAATTTGGTTTGGTTCATTCCATAGCACCAGTTTTGCTTACCAAAAATCCCATAATTCCTCTAATCATTCGCTTTACCGAATATAACTGCTTCATGACATACTCCAGCTATCCTAAGAGAAACTTCAGAGGGAACCAGCCACTAGATAATTCGATTATTCATATTTTCCTGTTTTTATAAAATCTATCCAAACTGTTCATTCTGATTAAATAACAGAATATGAATTGGAAAAACAAAAGTACCATGTTTCTGCCACTTTTTTATATCCAAAAATTAAAAAAGTCATTAAAAGGGGAAAAGCAAAAGCGAAATTTAAAATTCGAATAGAGTGCTCAGCTCATTTATATCAGCTCATTTGTACTGTGCCAATGACAAATGTTTATCGGCATCAATTGTTTTTAATGATTACTATATGAAAATTCACTATTTCACTATTTGAAAACGAATATTCACTATTTGAAAAAAAAATCACTATTTGAAATTCACTATTTGAAAACGTTTGGAGTAGCATCGTGATCTGGAATGTGAAAATATATTCCTCGATATTTACGGGAATATTAAACCTGGCAATTTTGGATTTTCAAGAATAATGCAAAGTAATGACATATCACACACTTTCTGTGGTTCAAGAGCCTATGCACCACCAGAAATTCTCAGCTATTTCTCCGATCTTTTTTCGAATAATGGTGTCTTTCCTTTGGATTCAATTGTCGACATTAATATTATATCGGATACTGGATGAATCAGGCTTGATTACTTTGAGATTACAACCTTACACGGGTTTTACTGTTGTGAGAAAATTATTCTTTCTTTTTATCGAGTCGTTTAGATTTAGAAGGTTTAGCCTTGAGTTAGGGTCAAGTAGAAATTTAATTAAAAGCTTGCCTTGTGAGGATGTCGAATATACGTTGTGAGGACACAAAGTAAAAATTACTGCTTTATTGATATAATACAGAGCTGATCAGTGGGATTATTGAAGAGTAACGAGTAGGAAAGCGTAAGTCAAAAGCAATCGACCGTGAGTCAAAAGCTTTTGACTCGACCGTGAGTCAAAAGCAATCGTAAGTACTATAGAAGAGCACCAGTCCAAGAAAACCTCTTTGTTTCCAAAAGGGTTTATGAGTATAAAGAAGAAGTAGGAGTGGTTTACATAAAACGTTAAAAAGGGGTATTCATTTAGATACAAAGGGAACTGTAAAGATGTAAATTTTCGTTAGACAAAGATAACAAAGAAACGTATGGGAGATAATTTTAAAGAATGTAAATTGGTGAATGAATGCAGTGATGAATCATTAGAAATATTCTAAGCATTTAATGTATAAATTCTTTCGGTTTTTCCGACATTTACGGTTGATCTATGAAGTGTGGGTATAGTGGTATTCGTGATGGTTACCGGTTTAATGCCCTACAACGATCAAAATTCATGGAGAATGCTCTTGAAGCAATTGCAAAATAGATTCCTTTAGGAGTATTTAAATAGAAAATTATAACTCAACATTTGTGAAGCTTTTAAATTATGAACGTGATTTCATTATCT